TATACAGATACATCTAAAAATGAAGTCAAAATAATCATTATTTAAAAAAACAAAAAAGTATAAATATTATATCTATATATATTGCAGAAAGTTATACTAAGTTTTTTGGTTTTTTTTTTTTTATCAGAAACTAACCAATAAAAATGTCGTAAGAAATTGCCTAAAAAGGTAAAAAAAATAATAATAAATAAAATTAAAATTAAAATAAAAAAAACCAAAACTTATCTAATAAAATACTACCTAATAAAAGGTAAATGTTGTAAAATGTTGTAATAAACTACCTAGTAAAAGGTAAATGTTGTAAAATACTACGTACCTCTGTTGGATTTCCACTGTTGACCCACCTCAAACATTCTCGAAACCACCGTTTTCATCCCCAAAACCAACAAAGCCTGCTTGAAATTGCATCCACCATGCCGAAACAACCCTCCAACCTGAAAACCACCACCTCTAACCCGAAAACCACCATCCCGAAGCACAAAAATACGCTCACCAACCTCCAACCACCCCGAAAAAAACCTTATGACTTTGAAAACCAACCCCGCGGTGATTTTGGGGGTGTTTTTAGGTGGGTCAACATCGTAAAATTAGATCAACGATATAAATTACGCCAAAGGTACGTAGTATCTTACATTTTACTTATTATTGGGTATTTTCTTATAACATTTTTTTTTTATTATGTAGTTTCTCACAAAAATTATGTTTTATGAGGCAGTTTTTTGGACAAAAATTCCTATTTTTTTTTTGTTTGTTTTTTTTTTTTTTCATTTTTTTATTTTTTATTTTTTTCCTCTCATTAATCAATACAGTAGTACATGGGGTGAAGTTAGAAAGAGTTCGCGTAGGTTCAAAAGATGGATAATATTGTTAAATTGTTAATACAAGTATATGATATTGTTTAATATGAATCTTTGGTCTCAAGTTTTAGGTAAAATAAAAGTGATCTTTGTTAAAAAAAAAAATGAAAATAAATATCTCACTTTTTGTTGGTCTTCCCAAAACAATTCCACCTATCGATTTTCCCAAAACAATCCCACCTTTACCCTCTCTTCATCTAACGATCCATGACCTGTTGGTGACCGGTTTTCTTAGGTTATATGCCATGTGTCGACTTTTAATAGGTTTAATTTATTTTTTTTAAATAATAAAAAAAACAAAAATAATTTTATTAAAAAAAAAACAATGAAACCACTAATGACCGCGACCACCCTACGCCACCCTCGGCTAGAACAACCGCCCTCTTCCCCTCCCCATCCCTGCCCCTGCCTTCTCCGACAACCCCACCCCCGTCCTCGTCTTCCCTTTTCCGATTTTTAATTGAAACAGAGCCGCAGTCAATATTGATGTCTGATGGTGATGAGAGCAGCGGAAAAACGAAAAGGGGAGTGAGGGGGGCTCTGATGGGTTGGGGTTGGTGTTTTTGGGGTGTGAGTGGATGTGTCGGGGCTGGCTAGGGGGTTTTCGTGGTGGGGTGGAGGTGCGAGGAGAGAGATTATAAGAAAGAAAGAAAAACAAAATAAATTAACTTGTATAACAAGTTGCAGGTCATATGGATTGTTAGATGAAGATTGGGGGTAAAGGTGGGATTGTTTTGGGAAAATCGATAGGTGGGATTGTTTTGAAAACACCGGGCAAAGGTGAAATTATTTATTTCCATTTTCCAAAAAAAAAAAAAAAAAAATTAAAAAAAAAAAAAAAAATAATCAACACAATCACTCGAAAACCTCTTGAACAAATATAAATAGAGTGTCATTCCAAATTTAATGTTTTTTTTTTTACTTTCTATCACTGTTTTTGGTTAGAGATTTAAACACAATAAGGGTGTTATTTGTTTTGGCTTTTCCACCATCTACTTGAGAAATAAAAAAAGCTTATACAAACAAACCTACTTCATTATTAAAGAAAATATATGTTGGTTCTAAATATAATTGAAATCATGCCTAGGGGTTTGATATTTATTATTTTTAATATTCTCTATATATTTTTATACTGCAATTAAGATATTAAGTATCATATTTTTATCTTGTTATTTTTTGTTAGATGTTTAAAAGAAAAAATAAATAGCATTTAAAAAAAATGATGTAAGAGATGGGTAGTCTTTTTTGAAAACTAAAATTTTAAAATAATTGAATTTTGTAGTGATATGTATGACAAACTTTGTGTATTTTTCAATATACTTGAATATTTATGGGCCTTGATGTTTTTGTTCAAACTTAATGACAAATCTCACATGTGATAATCAATGAAAGATTGTTGTTTTGTTTTTATTCCCCTCTCTCCCTATAAATATTGGCATATGGAAAACAAACCTCGAAGTAGCACCTATAAAAATAGTATTCCTCCCATTTACATATTACTTCATCTGTCTCTAATTTTTTTTTTTTTGATACATTTGACTTTTTATGGTCTCTATAATACGTATTAAAACGATTATATCACTATTTTTGTATGCGTAAAAATTATAAAAAGTTGATATTAATAAACCATACATTGAGGCGAATCAAATAAAATATCACATGACTATATTACCTATTGTATACTAACAGAAATTTATGGTCAAAATGCTTATATTTTAACGGCAATGGGGTAAAAAAAAATTAAGGACAAAGAATGTCTAAATCCATAATGGCACATGTCCAAAATGGACACAAATGACTTTTTTTGTATATTGATGAATGTGCTTTTGCCTTTTTGGTACCAATAAGTACCATCAAAGAAATTTAGTTGTAAGTTTTACAAATGCCAAAACCCAATTGCATTATTGAATAAATAATTATCAATTTTTTTATATGTGAAAATAGGAGAGTACAATAACCCATGAAGGGGTGAATAGTACAAGAAAACTCTCACTATAGAAGCTCACAAATGAGTAGTACAAAAATAGGAATAGTAGATTCGTAGCTAGAGAGAAGGTGAATTGTATACAAGGAGGGTAGTAAGGTAGAAAGGCTTTGTGTATAGGTATGGTTGTATGGCTTATTGCGTGTGTGTATATATATGTTGATAAAATGCCCATAACATATATTTATAGTTGAAGATGGAGCTTGGAAGAAATGACCAGAAGATTCCTGAACATCCTTCATTACTCTTGTATCTATATTATTTTAGAACATTCACGAACCATGTATTCTAGTTGCTTCCAATGTCAAGAATTCTCTAAATCATTTTAGTGGCTTGCATGATACAAGCTAGTAGAAAAATCTAGAGAATTGAGGAGTAATACCAGCCATGCTACATGTATCTGGAAGCTTCTAAAACATGGACAAATACTCCATAATGGCCTAAAAATTTGGGCCATACCCAACAATTATAGTTTCACATGGCATTGGCATCAATTTTCATAGAGATGTTGGATTTTTAATTAATAAAATTAAAAGCTCAAGTTTTTATTAAATGAAATAAATAACTAGTCTTTTCATAATTATTTTCATTTTCAGAAGAAAAGATTGGCCAAAATTAATTCGCTCTCAATACATCCAAATTAATATCAAACTATTCCTCTTTGCTAATTTTTCTAGGCTATATAATTTTATTTTATTTTATTTTTTTTGTGATTACTTAAACATATATTAATTTATGTGTATATAAATGACATGAATTAATATTGAATTGGCTAAGATGGTAAGAACGTAATCTCAAATCCATGATTTTAAATGTTCAAAACTTGTGGGATGCTTTTTATTTTTTTCTCATTAAAAGTGACACGGAATAGTTGTTGAATGCTAGTGTGATGTGGCATAATGCTAGTTAAATGATGACATGGCGCAATGCTAGTGCAGATCTACATGGCACATAAACATAGGCGGAATATCTAAATCCCTAGATTTAGATACGTTATTTTAATATATAACTAGCTTTTACATCCGCTCTACGCACGGGCTGTGTACAAGTTATTATTTATATACTAAAAACATTCGAATAAATTTTTTTAATTGCATTATAGTTAAATAATACGTAGTACTTTGTATTAAATAATTTGACTTGTCATAATTCTACATATGCACATCAATATATGAAATCACCAACCTTCTCTTCACAAAGATACTTCTCTTGCACACTTAATATTTTGAAAACAATTTTCTATGACATGCAAGCAATTTCGTAAATGAAATTAATTTATAAGTTCTTACATAAAACACTTCATTTTTCTCGTCATTCATGTCTTCCTTATTTGCCGCTTCAATTTCTCTAATTTTCAATCATCATATTCATCGTTGTAGCAATTTTAAAGATATTTATCTATCTATTTGGCTTTTTTTTTTTTTTTTTTAGAGTTTAGGTGATAGGAGAAGAAGAAAAGGGGTGAATGAATAAATGACCAATTCAATTAAATTGTAATCGAAAGATGGAGAGAAAGGAAGAGGAAGAGGAAAGAGGATAACATTATTAAGAGAGTTCAATTTGGTGAGTTGAAGTGAAGGTTATAGAAATTGAAGAGTTAAGAAAAGAATAGGATTGTAAAGAAAGTTAGGAGAGGTGGACACATGTGGCGAATTGATTTGTGTTTTTATATACTTGTACTTAGTATAGATATAGATTCCTTTTCTTTCGCTACTTCTCCGATCCACGTACTAAGATAGTGGTATCCCTTGAGGGCTATGTTGGGTTGTTTGTTCGTGTTGGGTTTGCATGTCTTTGACTTGGCTAAGCTTGTAACATGGTGCATGATTGAGCTCACTGATTACATACGAGCCAAAATCTTCACAAGGGTTGTTCAAGCTCCACATACCATTTGTGAAATGACATGATATATAGTGTCGTGTCATGTCATGCTTGCTTTATCTAAGTCAATTTTAACTTATTTTAGCATGTTTTATCATGCAAAATGTTATGTTGTGCTTACGCCGTGAGTCCGTGACACACCATACTTTTTTCACGATTGTTCATATTGTAGTACACATTGGCCCGACCTAATAACATTTTTAGTTATAATTTAATCAACCATATTAGTCAACCATATAACAAACGGTGCATTCGATTATAACTCAATCATAATAGCCACCCCCACGTCTCGATGTCCTCCTTTGCTCCCTAGTCTAATGCAAGAATTAGGACACAAAGTTGTGGTCATTTGACCATACCTATCCCCTTTGATTATACTCTTAACATTCACTACTTCCACCCGCTAATCGCGCAGTCTTCTCTGCCACCACTTTGCCTCACTCCAAAGCTAAAACCCTCCTCCCTTTTCCCCCAATTTCTTCTCCTTCAATTCTCTCAAATCCCAACACACCCTTTTCTCCAATCTCTCTTTATCAATCAAATGGCGGAAGAAGAAGGAACAGGGGAAGAATACCTATTCAAAATAGTAGTAATTGGGGATTCAGCAGTTGGAAAATCTAATTTACTATCAAGATTTGCAAGAAATGAATTTGATCATAACACAAAAGCAACAATTGGGGTTGAATTTCAGACAGTTTGTGTTGAAATTAATGGGAAAGAAGTGAAAGCTCAGATCTGGGATACTGCTGGTCAAGAAAGATTTAGAGCTGTTACTTCTGCTTATTATAGAGGTGCTGTTGGTGCTCTTGTTGTCTATGATATCAGCCGCAAAACTACTTTTGAGAGTGTTAGTCGTTGGCTTGATGAACTCAATAGTATGCCCCACTTATCTTGTTTCCTTTATTTTTAAAGCTATTTACTTGTTTTGCTTATTTTTGTCAATTGGGTTTTGTTTAATGTTTGTCTTTCAAATTGTTTTGTTTGGATTTATTTAATTGTTCGTATTACCAATTGGTTTAAGGACGGACCTTGTGTGTGGTGCTTGTATGTGGTCCGACTCTCCTACATTGATGGGTGTAGCCTAGAGCCCCAGACCCATTTGATGAATTAGGCATTGAGTCTTAGGTTTGTTGATTTTTTGTTCTTTTCATGCTTTCGTTAATAATTGAATTTTGGAGTGATGGAATTATGCTTTTCCTTTTCTGAATTGGATGTTAAAAGTTGCTAAAAATGGAAATTTGGATCTTTTTGGTTTTCTTTGATTCAATGTTGTTAGTGTAATTTGTGCATGTATAATGCTGTAAGATGCTGTGGTTATTGTACCAGATTTTGTATCCTTGGAAATTAAGAATTGGATTCTTAGTAAAAGCTTATCTGATTCTATGTAGCATAGTGTGCCACATTGGAGTTATTCTGAATTTAGGTGTTTGAGTGTCCTATGTGATTTCTAGCTAAGTTTGTTATAACCTCTATACCAACACTGTTCAAAAATATGAAGTATTAGGTGTCTTAAGATAGCAAAAACGGTGTCTTGGTCGGGAATTGGTATTACTGTCTTTTGGGGAGATCTTGCTTATGAAATTACCGTTATTAGTACGTTCTAGGGAGAATAATTGTAGATTTTTTTTTCTTGACTAATACATTATGCCAAATTGTCAAGTATCAGTACAGGCCTCACTAACCCTTACAACAGTGAAATCATTTTCAACTCTGAGTCTCCAACCCCCTGAATTAGTCTACCATGACGTTGACTTACAATTTCTATTGTACAAATGCCGTGCTACATAGCTATTCTCTTCCCTCTATTTTAGAGACGAGTGGATTGTATTATGACATATTGACGATGAGGTGCTAAGCAACAGAAGAGCAATTGACATTAACAAATCTAACCCCTTTGCTATAAAAAGGATATGTCTCTAGAATTAAATCAAGAAGTTGCAATTTGTACCTCTGAAATTCTACTAGTTGTAGTTAGAATTTTAGAAACTCGGTATCTTGTTTGGAAGTCCTCACATATAGATGTGTATTTCACTCTCTGCGTACCTATACTATATATTTTGAAGGTTGGGATAGTTTTTTTTTTTTTTTTTTTTTTTTTTAAGGCTTTTGAAAGGAATTTAAGCATGCATAGAAAATGGATTTTGTCATGTAATCTACTTCACTTGGCTTGTTGAAACAATAGAACCAAGAAATTTCACTTCCTTTGCCTATTGCTTATGCTAACCCTCTTAAAATTCTTGTGTTTATGCCTTGTTTCTTTGTATGAGATAGTTACCTTGTGACTTAGTTTTCTTTGAGTTGACATATGCTTAGCTTCTTGTAAAACTGATTTGGTGGTGCCCCTTTCCTTTGCGTTGGATTGTGGGATTCACAAGTGTTTTATAGTGCATGCCTTGAGTTTTAGAAGATTTGATTGAGATATAGTATGGAACCAACTATCCAATGATGAGACATCAAGCATTTTCTGTAGTAAGAGGAAATGGATCTTATGCTTTTACGTGATATTTAACTGAATTATTATTGGTTTATTTTTCTTGCAGCTCATTGTGATACTGCAGTGGCAAGATTATTGGTTGGTAACAAGTGTGATTTAGAAAATATTCGAGAGGTGAGTGTGGATGAAGCCAAAAGTGTTGCTGAGTCTGAAGGATTATTTTTTATAGAGACGTCAGCTCTGGATTCAACTAATGTCAGAACGGCATTTGAGATAGCAATCAAAGAGATCTACAACAATATCAGCAGGAAACTATTAAATTCAGATTCATACAAGGCTGAGTTGTCTGTCAATCGAGTAAGCCTAACCAAAGATGGTGCAGATTCAAATCGAAGTCGTCTGGGCTCTTGCTGTTCTAGTTGAGATTCGCCAAATTTTGTTGTGTTCAATAAATTTTTAATTGTCTGGTTGGATTTTCAAGTTGTGTCAAAGGGCAGTCAACAAAGATCCTATTGACTATCTAAGAATTATGAGATTTAATACAATTGCACAGAAACCCTCTGCTTAGAGCTATTTAAATTTATCAAAATCTGTCACCTTTAGGTTATGAACTTTCAGCTGTGCATTAAACATAAATCTATTCACCATTATTGTTTGCTGACATTATTTGGTATAATTATGACGTGCAAAATTCTTTTACCTGCTAGATAAGTACTAGTATTACCATTACTCTTAACATAAAAAAAGAGACCTAATATTTTCAAATTAGACATCTCTGCGCAACTCTGGTGCCAGCAGACTGAATAATAGAACCCTGTGCATCTTTGGGAACTGACCGACTGAGTAGAATCCAAATGAACAAGGGAACAAGATCAAACCAGACCCCCTACTCAACTAGACCATGGAAGAAAAAGATTTAGAATGCAAGGACCAGAATGGTAGTTCCACTAGTTCGCACCTGACAGGTTTTACAATTCAAACTATGTGCATTGGTGTTAAAAAGACCTCAAATGCGAGATACTACATAGACTTGATGGATATGACAGATAGTTCAGACTGCATTTGGCTTGGGTGAGTCAATATTAGGATGAATGGATGATGAATAATTTGATTTGGTTTTGGGCTAGTCAACCTGTTTTGAGTAAGCTCGTTTGGGGCTTTCATTTTATAATAAAACAGAGTTATAATCATGATTTCGAGCTGAGGCCAGGACGTGTTGGTCTCCAAACATTAGACGTGAGAGGCACCAAGCTCTGCTCTTTAGCTTCATGATACTCACACAAATTACGAAGTGGTGCCTACAAAGGAGCTGGTGAGTTTTTGCGGTAGATTATGTAAGACCTATCTGATTTAAGGCATTAAACATTAAAACCAATGAATAAATGGGATGCAATGTACATACCGAACCACACTAATACAGACTTACTAATTTAGCAATAAATCAACTATGTACAATAATGTTACATACGTATATCAATATTTATTAGGCTGGGTATTGCTCAGAAAGATGTCATGGTTTTCTCAAAGCAGATGCAGCGCCCATCACAACAGCCATTACGACCCCAAGACCAGCACCCAGAGATGCACCAACGGTTGCTGCAGACATTGAGTTGGCCTTGTCCTGCATATCTTTCTTCCCAGCAATCCCCTTAGCATGATCTTGTGAGAGCTCTAGTAAGAGTTTATCCTTTGCAAATTCCTTCAACCATAAAGGCATAAATTATAGGATTAGACCTCAATAACATAGTTCATATGACAGATAAGAAAATCTGACATTTACAAGCTGATATTTATAATTTCAGTCACGTCTGCTACGACAAATATAAATTATTGTGCCCCCAACAGAAGGCAGATTTCACAGGAGAAAGATTTCCAAGGGCAGAATGAACTTTTATTTCATTTTGTTTTGTTTGTTAATCAATGTTTGAATCTATACTAAAACAAAACATTATGAAATATATAAGTTCCAACTCTTATATATTTATTGAGTTTTTAGAAGATGGATGATCACAAAATGACTTTTAAATTCATACCTCAAAGGATAATTCCTCTTTTCTTCGGAGCTCACGATGAACAAGCTGACAAAAGGAATCCAAACCCTCCACAGGAAGAATAGTGGCTTTCCGCTGGAAAGGTTTCCGCACAAAATTTAATGGGCCAAGAACAAGACCTTGTGGAACCATCCCTCTATTAGTGTCTTCTCTAGCAACAACACTGGACAAAGAGGCATAAGAACTGCCTGCTGTGTGAATAACATAGGGGCAAGAGTTTAATATCTCTGTATTGCCAGGAGATGCTTGATATGCCTTCAACACAGCATCAATTGCCTCTCTTTGCTGGTGTGCACTCACGGAAAATTTATTAGTTATTGCAAGAACCCAAGGTATACCAAGGGCTTTAGCCTCATCCAGTAAAAAACAGAGGGCAGGTCGTCGTTGCAACACATTGGAATCACTGTATCTAGGTATTTGATGAGCAAGGTTATGAACAAGCACAAGCAAATCAATCTTCCTGCTAAGATCTCGAATACCTGTCCATAATTCATCTCTAAAACGAGAAGCCTCGGTACTCAGCTCCTAAAGAAGGAAAGAAAAAATTGATTATAAAGCAGCTCCTACTGGGAAACATAGGCTAGAATAAAAAAAATTGAGAGAGAGAGGTAAGCAGATAAAAGTGAAGGTAGAAATATTGAAGAGATTGAAAACAGAAAACAGCCAGAATACGAACATATATATATATAAGAACATCTACTGTAGTATATTCAAACAATATACTTCGTATTAATAGTAACCAACAACAAAGTTACAAATTATTAAAAAAAAATTCAAAAACTTCTAAAAAGCAAGCTAATAAGTCCCTAGGTAAACACTTAAAAGTCTCAAACAAACTAATTTCAGAAATTTGCATTACGAGATTGTGAAACCGACTTCCTAGAGAAGCGCACCTGTAAATTTATTCCGGCTGAGTCCATGTAATACAAACCGCCAGCAATTCCTTCTTGAATATCTGCTTCGGGCTGCATACTCTCACCATCAGTTGAAGTTGATTGTCTACCTTTATTCAAAATAGCCTTGAAAAGAGCTGTTTTACCAGCACCCTGACATCACAAATCATGCTACATGTAAGGAAACAACCTAATTTCAAAATATCAAGCTATGTAAATTAAGGAATATTTCACCAAGTACCTCAAGACCAACTAATCGCACTCTGCGAGTCCTAACATCAACCTCTTTGGAAACAGTGGTGAAGTCGGTAGTACAATATATATAAAGATTATTTAACCCAGGAGGATGGGAAAATTTACTTTTAGACAATGCTCCTAACATTTGTTGTGCCTTTAGATTAATGGATTCAGAATCAATGGAAGGGAAAACTGTGAACGCATCAGGAACAATCTGATGCTTTGGAGGACTTTTTAATGGAGCTCCAATAAGCACTCTCATCTTATCCAATTCAGGCTGTGTTTCATCTGAGTAAGTTGGTGAAGGAGGATGAGTATCAACTGTTGTAAAACACCTAGAAAATGAAACAGAAATATAAAAACCAGCACAAACATGATACACAGCAACTGTTGTATTAAGGTACCAGCAGCACCATTTGTACACTTTCCAGCATACATCAAAATTTTTAATATGATAAATCTCAATTCCTGAGATAAAATGTACACCAACTTATGCAGTTGATAAATATTTTCAAGAATTAGCGACAAAAGGATCCATCTTGTGATGATTAAAAAGCCTCCAAATAGCGGTAAATCAAACACTAATCAGAAGGCAAGCAAAGCAAAGAAGAGAATATACCAGTTACCATTTATTTGTGCCTGAACTTTACACAAATGGAGCCCAGAACCTGCGATGTCAACTTTTAAGGGGTCTGAATTTTTATCTCCAGGAGTGCCAGTCCATCCAAGTGGAACAATTGAAGTAGCAGTACAAATTGATGGAGACTCAACAATATGCCCAAGCTCAACTGTTCCAGCAATTGATAGCCCAAGCCATTGGTGTAGATGAGGAAACTGCTGAAGCTGCTCAATTCCCAGAAAAGATGCAGGACCGTCACTCATGCACAAATCATAGATCCTGTAAGGGGAGATACAGATTACTGAGACTCCATGATGAACATGTCATAGTTTAGCAGCTTCCTAGTTCAGAAGCATCATAAATAGTTTGGTAGAGCCAATGGTTTGCAATCATTGACTCATCATCCTGCCACTGCCAGAGACAAGTGGTCCATTCTTATTTCACAGAAATAACACAGAAAATGGAGATATAAAGATTGCAACAGCACTAAAAAGATGTTTGATTCATATTTAGTTCATGTATACGATTTAGAATAACTGATACCAAGAAACCCAATCTCAAAAAATAAAACCCATAAACTCCTCTGTTTTCTATCCCATTCCCCTGTTTTCCTTTTCTCCTAAAATCCTCTCTCTGACCTCATCCACCCTCCCTCCCAGCCTCCCTTATACAAGCCCTGCCACTTTCTGAGCTCCACCTCCCTCCCTCACTCTTCCACTCCCTCATACATTTTGCACGTCAGGAGCGACAACCTTTGGTGGAAGTTTTGACAATAAAATTTAAGATCTAAAATTTTAATGACCAAAATTATGCACTACTGCCAGAGATCAAAGACAGTTGATAATATCAAAGTTTACATATTTGTTTTTTCTTATGCAATAGGAGTGGTTATAGCATAATGTGGAATATAGTTTCAGTTTCACTCATATTAAAGATGATGGGTGAGGTGTAGCAGAGGAGGAAAAAAAGAACACAGAAGAATCGTCAAAAAAAAGAAAAGGCAGTGACAGCCAAAGAGGAATGATGGTGATATGGGCAGTGAGGAAGGGAAGGCAGTAGGGAAAGGAAAATGATGGTGAGGATGAAGGGTGCCCAAACACCTTAAATAAATGCAAGATTTCAGAAAAGAGAATCCAATTTGACTTTAGAACAAGTAGCAATGATGTCAATTAAAAAAAATTGTCATTACATGAAAGCTGAGTGATAAGTAAGCAAAAGCTTAGAAAATACTTCCTCCATTTCTGTTTAGTTGACACGTTTCCTTAGTCACGTTAATGCACAAACAACCATTATTATCTTTAAATACCGATAAGCAATAATTATAAAAAAAAATTGATATTTTGAAAATTTATATCGTAACGAATCTAACAAAACCCCGCATGACTATATTTTTCATTACATATAAATCACGAAACACAGTCAAAGGAAAGTGTGTGAATAGTGTTAAAGTCAAAAAGTATCAACTAAAAAAAAACAGAGGTAGTAGTAATTAAGCATAGAAATAGTAAGAAAACAAGTATAAAAAATATGTAATCAAGCAAAAGCTTAGAAATAGTAATAAATAAATAAATAAAAGGAGTAAGCAAATGCTTCAGCACCTTCTTTAAAATAAAAATTAAAAAAAAAATGCTTCAGCACTTACCTCAACATATTTCCCATTCAAACAATTCACCGAGCACTTTCTTCTAAATTAAGATTTCCAATAGTTCATTAAAAACTATGAAATAGTATTTATTTAAAATACCACCACAAAAGAATTTATCTAGCAATTCGCACAAGGACCAGCAATTTGAAATTTGCCTTGAATAGTACAAGCTTTGAGCCCTTTGCATTTTGCAATCATTAAACTTGACACTTCTATTTCTAACAACAGTCCAATGATGGCAGTGGGCCTAAAATTTCACATGAGACACTTATGTGGCAAGGATCTTTCCTAAAATAATAGCTTTCAAAAACATGTAAACTGTCAACAGATTAGATTAGCAAACTAAATGGATAGATTCCATCACACTCCCAAGAGTCCCTACAACTTCTCCACTTTCCAACATAAATGCCGCCTCAGTCTCCTCAAGCCCTTCCTACTTGATATTCAACCCCTTACCAGATGAATAAGAGTAACTAGGCAAGCTAGGAAAACTGCAAGCCCATATATTGCCAGCCTAAAAAAAAGAGAGAAGTGCATGACAGGAAAAGGTTCAACATAGCTTGAAATGAGAAAACAATGTGATTAAATTTAGAGCTCATAATAAGAGACGATAACTTATCAGATCCCAATTTTGAAGAAGATTTCAAATGAAGAACATGAAATGAATAAGGGAGTTTAACTGTTTAAGAGAAAACAGTACTTGTATTACAGTAGAAGAGTGGTTACATGAGTGGTAAGTTTCCTTTTGGGTTTCCAAACTGATGTAATATACCATGTATTTAATGTCATTAATCATTAGTTTATGAAATAATTTTTCCAAGTAAGCATCTTCAATGAGATCTCAAGTCATTGAAAGGCATCAAGTTTGTATCAAGAATGTAAGAAACTGTCCATCATCACTTTTAAAAACTTTATCAAGTGACAACCATTAATACAAGTCATGGAAAATAAAATGCATATCCATCTGCACTGGTTGAAACAAAGCAGGGAAAGAGAAGTATGAAACAAATGAACCCTTGGCAAAGGGTTACACCTTTGCAAGGCTAAAAGTTAATTGAAAAGTGTATGGAAGAAAGAGATTCCCCCCCCCCCTTTCTCTCTCCCACTTTCACTCAAAATAGAGAGGGGGAAACAAAGAGCACTAGAGAAAGGGAACACAAGGTTAGTACAATAAAATACAGAGCACGGAAGACGGATGAGACCAAAAATGAGCCTATAGCAAAGCTATGATAGCAGTACAAGGCACCAACAAAGAATGCACAACATACCTCTGAAATCTTGATCTATAAGATCTCATTGAATGCGATTGTAAAAGATCCTTCAATTCAGCAATCATAGATTTGACCTGAAAATGTCTTTGCCAGAAAAAAGCAAGAAACTGAGAAGTTCTGAAATACAGACGAAAGTGCCATTATATATAATGATCAACACCTTCCACAAAATAAAAAAAGTTTAATTTTTAAAAAAATCACATTATTGCCCCATGAAACGAAACACATCATCACGCCATTGCCATATCATAGCATATGCCCGTATAGTAATTTTGTGCATAGAAAATGATGACAAAAGATTTACAAATCTAGCCCATAGACCACGTAATTAGCGTATGGAACCAGGTTAGCTTATACTCACACCTTACGGCGAGGGGTGAGCAAACCGGGTATCCGGTCAAAATTTTAGGAACCGGACCCGGAATTGGTTGGGACCAAATCCTAAAATTCGAAACCAGAATTGGAACTAGTTGAACCGGTTCCTAGGATTTAGGAATTGGAACCGCCATGCGCAATTCCGATTCTGGTTCTGAGTACCCAGTTATGTATACAATTGTTGAAATACAATACAAATAAATATTATTCCGGTCTATTTTCAGTTTTAGCAATTAATACTTATACTTTTATATGCATTAGGCTTATTAGAACTTGGTGCAACCGGTTCGTTAATTGATTACCCGGAATTGGAACCACCAGATTCCATTCTGGTTTCGATTCCAATTCTGGGTACCCGGAATTTTCGCTCACCCTACTTACGCATACAATCATACTTAAAGATATACTACGTACTATACAGAGACAATCATCTCGAAGCGCAGAATCGTAGCACAAAGTGGACAATTTAATATAACTTTTAGAACTTTGAAACAAATTTTTCAATAAATTTTACAGATGATATCATATATTTAAAATAATAAAACTAAACCATACCGATGTCAACTTTGAGTACTCAGCATCTGATAGAGATTCCGCTGATGATGCCCCCAACAAGTACAGCTGTTTCCAAAAAAGACATGTTGAACACTTTCTTCTCGGATTCAAATGAAGAATAAACCAGATAAACTTAAGCAGTTACCTCGCCGAAAGGCACATATGACGGTAAAGAAGGCATTCTGCCCCATGCTCTTCCATCTCCTTCATTGTTGCCACTTTTCTCAGGTACCTTTCTGACAACATCTGAAGCTGACACTTTCAAATCATTTTCAGATATTGGCTTAAGAGAAACACTATCACAACCTTCTTCAATCTCTAACGATTGTGGTGCAGCTACATTATCAGATGTAGGATCAGAATTAGCCACAGTGGGTGCTTTATCAGAAGCTTCTGCACCTTTTTTTCCAGTTAAATGTCTTCTAATACCCTCTAAAGGAACAAGACGAGACAATCTCCAAAATGGGGTCTGAACAGGACCAAGACCAAGAACCAACTGCTCTCCTTCATTCTCTTTCTGTTTTTCGCCTTGCTTCTCTCTCAGCTTTCCAAATTCTAATATCACCCCACCATTCCCTTGATCACCAGTTGACGATGAAGCAGCATCACCACCATCAACTGATGGAGTCTGCGCATTATTATAATGATCAAAATACGCTGGGGATAAAAAACGAGGTATCAAGTCTTCTGGAATACAATAAGTCTTAAAATAATGATGCCATCCTTTTCGATCAACAAAACTGGATAATGAACCAAAAAAAGAAAAGCATATTGTCATGTAAAATCGTGTCATAGAAAATCCATTTTAATATGTAAATAATGATGAGTAATCAACTAAATAACAAAACTAACTCTCTGAGAGCTGCATTCCCAACAGGGGGCTGGGAGAATGTAATACATCTGACTTGAAACTTTTCATTGTCTTTCAATGGAGAAGACACAGCGATAGCTCTCAAAATGGCTAGTGTGGCCAGTGCTGCAACCTATGATCAAAGCAAGACAGCATAATTCATAATTGCTATGATTTGCACTCAGCAAGGAAAACAAACAAGATGAAGCAAAATTTCTGAGTACACTCACAGCTCCACCAAGAGAATGCCCACACAAGACAAGTTTGCGCTTCTTCTTCTGAGCGAGCCTGTACAACTCCAAGGCCGGTATCCCTTTAGCCCGAGACATGAAACCCTGTAATTAAATAATTTCAAAAGATAATTGATAATGAAAGCATAAAATACAATTTCACATGCGCTATAACAAGATATAGGCATTCAAGACTATGAACTCTAATCAATTAACAAAGCTATTCACTGTCGTCATACTCTATGAGCGGCAGGTCTCAGCTTGTGTTTCAATTGCTTAGGTTTAGTTTCCGTCTTTGCAAGAGAATCTACATTTCCTTTTCGTCCATTGGACATATCTGACTCAGATATATCAGTTTCCTCCATAACCTCCATGTCATTCTCGTGAAATAAAGCTCCTTGAAATATATTAGCATCGGCCATCACATCTCTATTGTTCAAGGGCATCATGTGAATCAGAAAATTGTGGAAGAAGCATGCAAAATAAATTTAAATAAAGAGTCTACATGACATACTTGTACTCCCTTGTCCCAACGAAAGAAGCAAATAAAGTGTCACCTGCTTCTGCCAACAGGTATCTGTATTTATTATTTTAAAAAAACAAAAAAAAAATTAAAAAAAAAAAAAAACACATGAGAAAACAAATAGCTCACTGGATTACACATATCCTAAAACAAGTCCTATTCTACAGTATTAGGAAAATAACGGTCCCCATTATTTAAGAACATGATGAATAATTTGCGTGTACCAAGGACAGGTGACACACACACACACACACAACACACACACACACACACATATGAAAAAATGCATAATTAAAGATGAAGACAATGTTCCTTTGACTAATCTTAACATGTAAAAGATGAAAACTTTCATGCCCATTGAACATGAAATTAAAACAAAGCCATTATGATGTCACAATAGTAACCGTAACCGCAACCACAACCTCAATTCATTTCTATACAATCAAATACATCGGGACTTGATCAGAATTTTCATGATGAACAGAGTGTAGGTGAGATAGGCCAAAATGCAAATTTTACTTCATTGAAACTATTGAAAATCGCTAGAGATAAAAAGTATCAAAAGACATTAATACTTCGTACTTTACAACATTTTCCAAGTCATAATTTGATTAAAAAAAAAAATTACTATATGCTTTTCCAACATAACAAAACTAAACAGGGAAGATAGCCGCTATGTAGAAATTCAAGTCCAGAACAGTGAATTTGAACTAATAAGGATCCATAATAGACACTTATAAGATAAGACAGTGAATTTGAACTCCTAAATTTAAGATATGATCATTCCCAATTCTAGCCAGCACGCAGATGAGTCCAGCAGATAGGACTTCAAGGACATCCTATCCAGGAAATTTAGAAAATTTAGAGCTGAGCAGATAAGAATAGCTTAACCCAGTTGTGATCAATGTATAAAACAGCTCAAGGCGCTGATGCGATGAAGGTCCTGCTGCGCCTAGGTGCGCTTTGGTGCGCCTCTTTGAAGTGAGGTGCACAATATAAAACCTTGCTTATGTGCTCCTCAAGCGCCTTAGGTGCGCCTCATCGAATGCGCCTTGCCTAGAGCGAAAAAGGCACTCTACCCTAATCGCCTAGTGCCTAGGCATGCCTTATACACTGGATGTGATGACTGATGATCTTAGCTAGCCTAACTTTCTGCCGTATAACTTCACAATGTGATGCCAAGGAAACAAATTTGATATGCTACAATGGTCAATCAAGAAGTGAAATATTATGTACAATGACATACCATACATCTTCGTAGGCAAATTAGAATGATTGCTTCTCCACAAAATCAAATGACAAAAAATAGGTACTAAAAAACCAGACTTACAGATTGCAGAGAAGCCTTGACATAATAATCCCTTCGCCTTTTTAAGTGACACACTTTTCTTAAACTCCATTTCTTTAAGTAGCACACTTTCCCTTTTTGGAAATACTACTATTTTTAATTATTACTCTCTTTTGGTCCCCATATTACATACTTCCTTTGTTTTTTAATACTTACAACACTTCTTTTTTTATCACGCTTACCAATGCTCTATTTCAATCGTTAATATCTTAAATTATCAATGTGTAAAAATTATAAAAATTTAATATTATGAAAGTATAAATCAGGACGAGTCTAACAATATCCTACATGACAATATTTTTTCTAACCTATAAATCACCAAAGCGAGTCAAAGTGAAATATGTGAATAGTGTACAGTCTTGCAAGTAAAAAGCACGGAGCAAGTTTTAATTAATTTTTCTTTCCTCATGGTCCCACTATTACATTATTATTTCACTTATCCCACATTCTAACATTTAATTCTCCAACAAACCACACTACTTGTACACCCTATATATTTCTCCTCAAACTCAGCGCGGAAGCGAATGAGTCGGTCAGAAAAATAGAGGGAGTAATTGTTAACTTTAAAAGAAGCAAATGAATGCAAAACCAATTCAGAGGTCAATGGTGGGATGTCAAGGCATATAAAGCATGACAAGTCATCTACGTTCATCAAGTAGAATCACATTTATTTTTGAAGATCTCTATCGTTAGTCCAGAAACCAGAGGTTAATTAAGACAAAGAGAACTAACTGATACCAAATGGTGACATGGCTACAACGCCTACAAGCTGCTATTGCCTGAAGCTTAAATATTTTAGGAAAAAGTAATGCAAAAATCAAAAGTACAATAAGCAAGTTTTGCATTCATGTAACAATAAAGTCCATATTTGAATAACGAATACACGTTAAAAACTTCAGCCATACAAAAGATACCTATGAGGAACATGGTCAAGAGATGGCTGAACACGCTCCAAACAAATGACTTCCCCTCCAAAGTCAGCTTTGAACTTGTTTACTGCTCGAATTAGCTCGGTTGCAGGCCTCTATGATCAAAAATAGCAACAAGCAATAAAAATCTGAACTAAATGCAAAAATTAAGCACATAATCTACTGATACACACTATTAGATTGTACTAGCTAACTGTACTTAAAAGCCTAAATCTCTCATTTCAACTCAGCACGAATTATAGCGAAACCACACCGAAATCCCCTGGTTCGAAATACATAATATACACGACCACATTCTTAAAACACGACATAAAAGCTCTAATTGCCATCCATACCTCTCCACAATCATCATATTATACATAACTCATCGCATTATTAACAAAATTCAGCTCACAGTATCAACAACCTCATTCACATTACACAGCATTCGATTGTTATAAGAAAATCATCCTTTTTGATAATAATTACACTAATTAGTTCAATTATCAGAAAACAAACAAAATTCCAGCAATTTTCCAAATTCAAACTCAGAACAATCAATCAAACAAAAAACAATCAAAAACTTCAAAATTCAGAAATAACCTTGTAAACACACTCAGAAAGAACCATGCAACAAAGAATATCCTGCAAATCGGAAACAGATTCAGCCTTAACAGCGCGACAAAGATCTTGAAGTTGCTTCTTCCTTCTCTCATACTCTTCTTGAAGCTTCCTACGTTGTTCTCGATCAGTCGACCATGGCGGCCACTTCACTCCTACCCAACCTCGAAACTGCGGCAATGGCGGAAGTTGAAGTTTCGGGAACTTAGAAGTTTGATCTTTGATCCAACCCTCTAATTTGCGTTGTAATCCTTCTACATTCATCGCTGATCATTGAAAATTTTCGATTGTTTGGTAGAAAACCCTAACCCTAATTTTCAATTTGAAATTGAATTGGTAATTTGAAGAAGATATACTAGTAATTTGTTGTGAGAAAATTTTGTGGATTAGATATGAAAAGGGGAGAATGAGAAAAAGTATATACTGAGGAATCGAACTCCCGCGATTTAGGAATGCAGTTGAAACCGATAATTGTAGAATTTTTGGAGTTTTTTTGTTGCGAATTTTGTCTTTTTTAAAATGAAAGATAAGTATTGAAAGAGATGTGTGGCCCATTAATTTGTTTTGGATTGGCCCATTAAGTTGCTAAAATTGGATTGAAAGTTTGAAACTCTATGGTGTCCACAACATAATCTATTCATTTTTAATGATATGGTAGATGATACAAACAATAAAATTATTAATAAAATTTTCATTAAAACCACTAAATCTTTCTAAGTAGGTCATTGAAGTATTGGTAGTAAGCTTCATTTTGAATTTACCAATGCTTATCGCGAGTTTGACCTGCGATTATACATTGTTATTAACCTTATTACAATACATCATATCCTTAAACGACAATGTAGTGTGTCACATAGAAAAAAATTGTGAATGAATTATAAGTTATGTCTCATAAGTTTGACATTACTCGATTGCAAACATTATTATAAAATCGAAGGTTATCCATTATCTCTTACTTAGTATAAGTAGGAGTATATAAATTATCGTATATCATTCTAATTCAATTTACATTTTTGCTTTTAACGCTTAGTGATCCATTTGTTTGACACAAAATTACATAACTACAAAATATTTAAATAATTTGGAAGTAATAAATTGATAAATTTAACTTTCTTTAATAAGAGTTGTAATTTCTAATAACCCTATTTTTTTGTATAAGTAGTGCTTCTCAGGAGAATATGCACCTCATATAACGAAACAAACATATATCTATGGATCTCAAGAAAAGTAACATCAATCGCGAAAATTGAAATTTTTGTAAGATGTGATTTTTAGGTCGACCTACCGAGACTCTGATCCTTCGAACATCAATCAATTGAAAGTCCCAACATGTGTGGATGAAGCTACAATCTATGAAAGCAATGCAAATCTAAAACTCTTAGCTTTAAAGGTTTAGGAATATTGACAATACACCAAATAATTGTTGAGCTAATAAAAAGGAGGTCATTAAAGGAGTTCCACATGATGGAATCCTAAACCCACCATTGTCCTTGATTTCAAAAAGCTTGTTTCACACATTGTGTATGTGCAAGTGCAACTTCCTCTCCCCTTCCTAAATCCTAACACCTAACCCTCAAACCTTTTTAGTCTTTATTTAATTCTTTACACATTCTAAAGTCAAATCTCACTTTATAACTTGTTACACAACATAACGAATACTTCCCTAAATAGCAAACTTACTACAACTTACAACTCCTACAAGTATATGGTAAAGACTAAAGAGTAATTGTAAATTACTCATATCTTCCTTTCTCCAATACACTTGTATAGCATATAGCATTTGCAGAGGGCTTGCTTGGATAAGAAATATTTGGCCAGAGACTCAGAGTAAATACTTTGTAGTACGTGGTAGTTAAGTAGCTAAACAAACTACAAGTACATAGATTAAAGTTGCCTAGTAACGGAATCATGCATTTTTATCATTTTATGCCGCAACTAGTTTAGTCAATATGTAACTTGACTAAGGGTGTCTTTATCGCAAGTTTGAAGCGGAATCTCATGTAAGACTTTGACAATAATGTCATAAAAGACTATCATGAGTCTTGCATGTAGTTTGGCAGATGAAAACTCATCTTAAAACTATGCATGTGGGGGCAATAAGCTGACAAACTTTGCATGGCCAATAATATATTGTCAACTCAACACAAGTTGTTGAATAAATAATGTTAGTATTTAGGAGGGTAAGTGAGTCTGGAGTGAGTCTTGGGATAATGTGTGAAAATGGAAAGAGTCTTGTGTAAGTCTGAATAATAAAAAAGTAATTAAAAGTTAGTGGAAAGCTGATGTGGCAGAGTCTGGAGTCTGAGTCTGGATCTGGGGATAAACTCACCTTAAGATGTTCTTGGAGGTATTCGTTTAGATGATGGAAATTAGTTTATATTATATTCACCTTAATTTCACTCAATTTAGGAAATAAAAAAATTTAACTAAGTTATACTGTGGATCATAAGTTTGATATAAGCTCAAATTTAGTGTTAATAAGGGTTACTTACCCCAATTCAACTTTATAAATAAGCTTTGAAAGAGAATCTTGTTAAATTTGTCAAAATATATATTTAAAAATAAGCTAAAAAGAATAAAGCTCTAGAGGGCATGGTTAGGCCGCTAGCTGTGAAAAATAAAAAAATCATTTTGTTCGTTATATGTTTTGTACCATCAAAGTAAATGAACTCACTCACTCACTCCGACCCTATAATTTTTTCCCATTTGATTTTTAATGGTCTCCAAGATGCATCTCGATTTTCATACGCGTGTAAAAATTATAAAAACTTGATATTAATAAAATATACTTTCTCCGTTTTTTTAGTTGAATTACTTTGTAATTGCGGACTTCTATACAATTTTTGGAAATGAGAGAGGTAGAGAGAATAAAAAAAATAAAAAAAAATGGATCCATGTGATAAAAGAGAGATAGAGAGAGTTTATTAACTGAAAAGGAAAGTGATGCAACTAATTAAAAATTTCCGTTTTAAAAAAGTGATGCAATTAAAAAGAAACAGAGAAAGTAATTCAACAAGGTCTCACACGACTGTATAATCTCTTAATATTCACCAAGAATTTATTATCAAAATTTTCAAAGTTTAACCCAAATATTAGACAATTAGCTTTAGGGCAAAAAATTAGAGACGGAGAACAGCAATTAAAACAAACACACTCCAAACATTTTTAATTTTCACTCATTACACAAAAATTCGCGTGACAAATCCCATACTTCTCCTCTGTCTTTAATTTCAAAATGTCACCCTCTTCACCTCCAGTCCTCTACTAACTAATTTTCTCTCTCCTATTTAAACCCCTTTCCCTTCCTCATTCCTCTCTACTTTCCCAACCTCACTTTCATCTTCATCTTCATCAATGGAGTTTCTTCAAACCTCCATTACTTTCTCTCTCCTCTTCCTTCTAACCTCTCTTCCACTTTCTCTCTCCTCAACCTGCACCTCTCCTAAGCTCACTTCCTCCTACAAATCATGTAACGAACTCCCTTCTCTAAGCTCATCGCTTCACTATTCTTACGACCACTCAAATAAATCACTTTCTGTCGCTTTTACGGCAACCCCGCCTTCGGCTTCTGGCTGGGTTGCCTGGGGAATTAACCCTACTGGTACCGGTATGGCCGGTACTCAAGCTATCGTCGCTTTCAAAAATACCAACGGTTCAATGTCCGTCAAAACCTTCAATCTTTCATCGTATTCCGACATTATTGAAGGGAAGTTGTCGTTTCCGGTTTACGATAAACGGGCGGTTTTTAACGCCGGTGATGGGTCGATTACTATCTTTGCAAGCGTCGGAAATTCTGGTACTGGAAAGATTAACCATGTTTGGCAAGTTGGTCCCGGAGTTTCGAAAGGTTTTCCCGAGAAGCATGAGTTTAAACCGGAGAATCTGCAGTCGAAAGGTACTCTGGATTTGAACGGAGGAACAAGCAGTAGTGGCAGTAAAGCGTCGGAAAGTGCGAGCGATGCTGCAACTAAGAAGAGAAATGTGGGTTTATTGTTACTTCTCTCGAGTTTGGTTCTTGGTTTGTTTTCTGTTTTTGGGTGTTCTTAGATTCTGGGAATTTTGGCCTTTTGGGGTTTTATTATGGATCAATTTTGATTCTTTCCACTTAATTAAATATATAATTGTGTAGTGTTATATCTATAATCGATATAAAAACAATTGTAGTATTAGTGAAATTGGAAGTTGTGGTTAGATCATAGTAGTAGATTGTATGCTCTGTTTGATGATCAGAAAGTGTTTGAATAAATTTCTTTAGAACAGCTTTTAGTATTAATACAGGCCTTTCTGTTACATTATGCTCAAATTATATTTTTTTGGGTGTCGGGATTCGATCTCAGATACTACTACGAGTCTTTAATCAACTAAGCTAGCTGACATCTACTTCGACTACTTGTTAATTGTAAACTTGGTGTTGATCAACAACCAGTCAACCATAGTTCTTACAAAGAGGAACTACTGGTCAAACACACAAGAAATGTTTTTGATTTCATGTTTACTTTCTGGGATCTCAGTGTTATGCTTTTAAGCTACTTCTTGTTGTAGTTGAGATTCTGAAATTGACTTTTTGGGTTAATTTTTATTCATTAATAGAAATTCCTGAAACAATGTTCTTAAATTTTTAGCTGTCATTGTTTTCCTGAATTGAATGTCAGAATTATGATTGCCAACCACCCCATTTTAAAGTTCTGTTAAAATGTTCATGTTAATTTGCTGATATCATATTGACAATTTTGGTACTGTGGTTTGTTGAATTTTCAGACTCATGGAATTCTGAATGCTATTAGTTGGGGATTATTGTTTCCACTTGGAGCTATCATTGCAAGATACATGAGAACATTTGAATCTGCAGATCCTGCATGGTTTTATGTTCATGTTTCTTGTCAAATATCTGGATATGCTATCGGTGTTGCCGGCTGGTCCACCGGACTTCAGCTCGGAAGCGAGTCTGTAGGGATCGTTTATTCGAGTCATCGCTACATTGGCATTGCCCTCTTCGCCCTTGCTACTCTACAGGTAACTCTTTCTTGCTGTTTTTATAAACACTCATTTAAGCCTACTTGTACTTTGAAGATCTGAATGCAGCTTTAAATTGTGAAATTTGAAGGTTTAATAGGGTTCAGAACATCAGATATTTCCCCAAATTAATGCAACTCTTAACAGTTATGATAAGGTGTTCTGATTTTTTGAGTAACTCAACTAAATGTTAGTATGGTACCAAATGGTCCCTTAAGTTTTGGGACTTTTGTGATTGTTGTTTGCCCCATTCACTGAGGGGCTATTCTCATTTTGGATTGCTCTGATCTTGCAGATTTTCGCGCTGTTTCTAAGACCAAAGAAAGAGCACAAGTTGAGATTTTACTGGAACATATATCATCACGGCATTGGATATGCCATCATTATCCTCGGAATCATCAACGTATTCAAAGGCTTAAACATACTCGAACCTGAAAAGAAATGGAAATCAACATACGTAACCATTCTCATCGTGTTGGGTGGCATTACTGCAGTATTAGAAGCTTTTACCTGGATCGTTGTCCTACGAAGAAAATCTAGTAGATCCACCAAACCCTGCGCTTGAT